TTATAAACTATATGGCTGTGGCAGGCTTCTTGCTATCTAGTTCTTATATCTTAAATTAACCCATTTCTATTAATCTATACCTTGCCACGTGGCTCGTGGCTTACATCTTGCTTTTCATGGTGGTGACTGGCAGCATCTCCTCACTCAGCCTTCCACTTCCCAGAATTCTCCTCTCTCCTTGTCCCGCCTATACTTCCTGCCTGGCTACTGGCCAATCAGTGTTTTATTTATTAACCAATCAGAGCAACACATTTAACATACAGAACATTCCACAGCAGAAGCAAGCTTTAATTAAGAAGAATTACACAAAAGTGAGAAATTGAGGAAAAAATGAGAAATTAAGGAAAAATGAAACTTCAGAAAGAGGGAAGGATTTCCAAGGGGGGTAAAAACTATGGAGTACCTTTGTTACAAGTTGTTATGGTTTCGTGACAGAAATCTGACCAATGCTGAGGTAAGCTCTATTGAGAATGGTTAGTTCTATAGGCTACGATGGGCCAGAGCCAATAGGGCATGTATTTCTGCCCCAACCAAGGAGATGACCATGATCTCTGTTAATGGGGTGCTAACCCTGTTATGGATGGTTGAAGCCCTATGCTGTCTATGATTTCTAATTCCATTTTTGTCAGGTTTTCAGCCTGATGCTATTGGTCACTTGGTCTGAATTACTACCCTCTGACCTTTGCTGATGTCTCAGATGTTGCTAATTACACCAAGTTCTCTTTGTTCCTACATTTACAATGATAAGCATGTAGCTTTACTGTGGAAAATATTTAACTTGATCACAAGTCAATAAGATGAAGCTGCAGGTTTTCTTAGTTACCCCACATTTAGCTCTTTATCTAAAGGGTGGTCTGAGATGGTCCCCTCAGCGAAAGTCTCTTGGGAGAAGCCATCATTACTATTAATTTAAACTGTTGCCATCAGCTGCATTAGAAGCAAGAGTATAAGAAAGGGCAATAGAACCTATGTGTGCACAGGCTTTGGCGATTTGGCGAGGGGGTAGCTGTCTTCCTGCCTAGACCTCTGTTCCTCTTCTTATCTACTGAGCTTGGTCTCTTACTCATCTGCCTCAGGATTCCAAATACTCCCTTGTTAATCCTTAAGATTCCTTTTAACCCTAGCCTCTGTTCTTGCTGACATATGAAAAATTTAGGAGTTTTCATCATGGCTACTTTCCTCTTACCTCCTGCTCCAGAGCCCCCTTGGTTCTTCCTGGCTAGAAAACAGCCACTTTTGACTGGTAGCTATAAGCCACAATAGAGTATGTGCAAGTCTCAGCTGCCAGGTCCAACTGTCCAGAGGGTTTTTCTACCCCACCTTTCCCCAGAGCACAGAAAACCCCTTATGATGATTTCACATCCAAAATGATGGTGGTGGACATCACCTTCACACCTTTTCCAGGCTGCTCCAAGCGTTCAGGGCACCTTTCTTCAACCTCACTAGGTCCACTATGTCCATTCCACATAGCCCTTGCATCCTTGACGGAACTCTAGTAGCCACAAGACAGAAGCTGGGGTTTTCCTCGCATCATGGTGACATAGCATACACATGAGCCAGCTTCCTAAACATCTCTGGGTTAGCTCTGCCACATCAGGACTTTTGGAACTTGGAGACCACCCCAAAGGCATGTAACAACCCCCCTTCTCTGAAAGGTCCCCAGCACCTACCTCATTTTTAGACATACCTCGGGACTTGATGCAGACGAATAGAGAACAAGGCTGGCTCTTAGGGTAACAATGGGCAGACTTTCAGGGAATTCACGTAAGTTCCCTCGTCTACCCCAGACAGTCTGTAAGAACTGACTCAATGTACAAGCAGAGTACATTGAGCCGGAGCTATCCAGTGCAACCCAAGGTATTGCAAGACAAAACTTAAAGCAGGTTTTGAAGGCTGGGGAAGTTGCAGGCTAGGAAGCATTGAGGAGACCTCATGCTTTAGGATAGGAAGATTCCCATCAGTTGCTGGAGAAAAGGGAGGCAGGGGTCAAGGAAACCTGCTCAGGAAATGCAGGTTAAGTTAAGGATCGGCAGTGGACAAGTGTGTATGGTCTGCGCGCTGTCTCCTCACTTCTAGAGTAGAGCAGGAGAGACTGCCCAACATCCTTTATGTACCTTCACCCAGCTCCCTCAAATATCCTGATTGCCCTTTCTAAATATCTACAAGCAGTGTCAGGAGTCGGGAAGCAACATGGTTTATTTTTGTTTTTTTTTTTTAATATTTTTTATTTTTTGCTGTTGCTTTTCTTCTTGTGGTGGTGCTGGGGGTTGAACCTAGGGCCTCGTGCATGCCAGGCTAGGGTTGTATAACTGGGCTACATACTCAGCTGACTTTTAAAACAGAGTTAACGTTGGTTTTGCCCATTTTAGTAAGAGTAATACTATACCCATTAACTTTCCCTCTGATGCATTACAACTAGAAACACTTCCATTTGAAAGTGGCCTTTGGCACCTGTTTCCAAACAAGAACATTCTTCTCACCTTTAAGGGATGGGTGGAGGGCCAGAGGAAAAATGAGGGACTATGAGCACCCTAGCATCACATCCTCCCACCAGCCCCTTCCACACCTGGGGACTCAACGAGACTCTTTAGTACCTTGCTACATCCAAGCACCTTCAGCCATCTGCCTCAATGAGCCCGCACCCATCTTCAGTGCCTCAGATGCCTGAACTGCCAGTACAGAGACTTGACTCCAGCCCTAGAACTGTCAAGGGGGCCTGAGAAATGGCAAAAGGAACAGGCGGAGGGAACTGATGCTCAAGGCCATCCACACAAGCTCACAAACTGTCCACTATTGGGTGAGATCCAGGCAAAGCGAGCACCTGCCTTGTGATGGCTTTTCCCTCATGAATAGGGGCTTATATAATCCACAGCTACTTAGAGGCGGAGCTTCCTTGCTTTCTCAACCAATGGTGAGTGAAACAGGGTGGAGTCCGAAAAGGGAGAGTGAGAGTGAAGTGGCCGGTTAGGGAAATGTATCTGTTTTCCATAGGAAAGAAGAAACATCTTCCTAAGCCAAAGATGGTGAAAACAACTTCTCGTGAGTGGAAATAACACCTAGAAACCTGATGTTATGGTGATATATTTGTAATCTAAGAAATAAAGCTTGCCTGAAGATCAGAGGACAGAGCCAGCCACAGAGGTCAGGTAGTGGTAGCAACACACCTTTAATCCTAGGCATAGTGTAGTGGGTAGCCATTCCAGCTTTGGTCTGGAAGTTCCAACCCCCATTGAGGCTTCAGTAACTATCACGCCTACAAGGCGGGGCCAAGGGAGGGCCCTGAAGACCTGAGATGGAGATCGGAATGTGTGGTGCTCTCTTCCGGCTAGAGGTGGACCGGTGGACCGAGGAGAGTTCTCCAGAGAACGCCCCAGAACCCTCAACCTACCTATCCCTTTATTTGTAAGCCACACCATTAAATAAATCTCCCTTTTAACTGTGTGGAGTGGCCTTAATAATTTCACCAATAGCATAGATCTTCTGGATCTCTGTGAGTTCAAGGCCACACTAGGCTACATAAAATTAATCCAGTCTAAAAGAGAAACAGAGCCAGGCAATGGTGGCACGCACTTTTAATTCGAGCACTGGGAAGTTTGAAACAGGAAGTGATATGGCTAGGCAGAGAAAGGAATATAAAGCAGGAGGAGACAGGAACTCGGGCTCTTGCAGATGCTCTATCAGGCAGAGGAGTGACTGGTGAGGTAAGAGGTGGTTGGCTGTGGCTTGCTCTGCTTCCCTGATCTTTCAGCTTTCACCCTGATATCGGGCTCTGGGTTTTTATTATAAGACCATTTAGGCTTTGAGCAACAGATGTCTTGGACTTATCTTGTTCCTAAGGCCCTTTGACCTTTTGTGGATCATGGTCAGAAACTCAGTTTAGAAGCATATTCTATCTTTGCCACTCCCAAGCAAATGAATTCGGGTAAGGCATGGATCTGGCTTAGCTGAGATTCCATGTTGTTTAACTCAGGGTCTCATATATTCCAGGTTGGCCTCAAACTTTCTTGAAGTTAAAGACAACCATACTTCTGATCTTCCTCCCTCTACCTCTCTAGTGTTGTCATTACAGGTGTGTGCTACCAATGTAGATTTACTTGGTACTGGTGATGGAAACCAGGGCCTCCTGCATACTAGGGAAGTATCCTACTCACTAAGCTACATCCACAGCCCATGAGATTCCATAACTTGATTTGTAAAATAAACAAACTTTTCATAGGACAGTATAATTCAGTGTGGCATGCCCTAAAACTGTCCCACTTAAGGAAACAGTATCATCTCCCTATTTCATCTGTTCAGGTAACTTGAAATATTCTTAGTATAGATAGCCTCTGTAGTTACTAATAAACTTGAATTATTTTTTGAGATTTTTTTTTTCAGTTAAAGCACAATGATTCTGAGTGCCTGGGACTGATAGAAGTGAGAGCTAATTAACCAATTAGTTAATGACTCCTTCTCTAGGAAATTATCTGCTAGAATGATCTCTTCCTTGATTTTTCTGGCACAACATGTTATCCCAAAAGATTACAAGTACTTTAGAAATGGAGGAAATGTTTTATTTATCGTCACCACAGTATGCCTGGGGAGGTCAGAGGACAAGCAGGAATTGAGTAATAGTTCACTCCTTCCACTGCGCGGCCCAGGGATCCAACTCAGGTTGTCAATTCAGGGTATGGCAAGCAGCTTTTCCAGCTGAGCTATCTTTTCTTGCTGGCAATTGGTGAGAGCAGCTGCATTACTTCAAAACAACTCAAGGATGCCAGCAGTTTCTACCACTAACTTAGTTTTGTCTCTCGGTGGTACCACTGTTTAGTTAGTGAAACATAAGCCAGATGTTTTTGGCCTTGATGTAGATAGTAGTATCCAGGCATAGGTAAAGGTAAAGATGTAAATGCCCTCATTTAAAGATGAATGGAAGGGTGGGTTGATGGTTCCAAGGAGGTCTTGGGCATGCTAGTCAAGTGATCTATCATTGAGCTACTTAGAGTCATGAATACCATTCATAACCTAGTCTTCAGCATTGTTTTTATTTCATGAGTTTCCATTAAATTATTTCCTTGTACATTTTCTTTTAAATAATTTGTATAACAAATAATAACTGTGATAGTTTTTATTGAATATGCCCTTAGGACATCAGAAAACTTAAATGTCTCTGAAACTTGCAGTTTCAAAATTAGGAAGTTTATGTGAGACACAAAGATCTTTTTTTTTTTTAAAATGACCAAAGAATTAAAGTTATTTACTCAGAAGCCATTTGTTCCTCATCAGTAGGTGTCCTATCTTCCATGGGCTCCTCATTCATTGCCTCAACAAAGGCATTCTCACCGGACTGCTCACCCAGTTGCTCAGGAGGAAGGAAGTATGGCTCCTCAGGAGGAAGGAAGTTTGGTGTTGGCCTTTCACCTAAGGCTATTTGATTGGGGTCCGTAGAAAAATCCATAGACTTAGATTTTGATTTTTTTGAGCTGGGTCGTCTCAAGTCTGAAGAAGTGTTGCCCCAATATGAGCTGCTCTCTCCACTTTTCGAAAAAGATGTATCAGATACCCCTTCTGAGGGGTGGAAGTAAGACAGATTGGCCAGCTCCGGGTTCACAGTGTATTGGTTGTCATAACTTTTGTCCCTAGAAAGAAGAGAACACACATCAGGAGTTATCTTTAGTTGCATATACATGTAACTCAAATCAGAACAGTTAAAAACAGAAATAGAGTCTGTCCAATGTATTAATTAATGCAAAGGGTATAGTTTTTTTCCATTGTAGTTGTATTTAATCCTTGTGTAAATGAACCATGGATGCTTAGTGTATGCAGCCTGTCTCAAACGTCAATATTAGAATTTAAAAGCCAACAATAAAGATTGCCTTAAGTAATAAAGGTGTAACAAGAAACATAAAATGAAGCTGAATTAGAGAAAATAAACATTTAACTTTACAGTTTTAATGGGTCGGAGAAGTACCTTATCAAAGCACCACAGTCAAAGAATAAAATTAAGGATAATAGAATGGTGAAGATTAAAAAGTAATCCTGTGGAGGTTTAAAGTAATGTTGCAAAGAGACCAGGCTCTCAGGTTCAAATGGAAATATATATATGTATATATATATATATAATAAATTTAATTCTTTTTATTTATTCTTCTCTCATACAATACATCCCAACTGCAGTCTTCCCTCCCTCCACCACTCCCAGTTCTCCCCCACCTCCCCTTTCCCTTGGATCCACTGCTCCTCCCTTTTCCTTCAGAAAAGAGCAGGCCTTCCAGGCACAGCAACTGATCACAGCATAACAAGTGACAATAAGTCTAGGCATAACCCTTATATCAAGACTGGAGGAGACAATCCAGTAGGAGAAAGAGGGTCCCAAGAGCAGGAAAAAGAGAGACACACCCAACTCACACTGTTAGGAGTCATATTTTTATAAGAAAAGATAAATGATTATTGAAGACAAATGTCTAGGCCTCAAGGCATAAAAGTGGCAGATTTTCTGTTTCTTTCAAGGTCTTAAGCAAGGCTACCAAAAAAATTAAATGTTAAACCCCAAGCAAATGAGCTAGTTAGAAGAGAATAAATGGCCTTTGTACTCCAGGGCTATTTTGCAGGCATGCAGAGGGAGGAAGCATTGTCTAAAGTCTCTATATCCTTCCTAATCAACTGTGAGTTTATTTATGACTATTTAAACTACTGGGGGCAAATACAGTGAGACATTCTCCGAAACAGGGCTCACATTCCCAATGCATAGAGGAAGTAGATTCGAGCTGAATATCTTATCCATTACTGAGGAGGGTACATATTCCTATTAATCCATGAAAGATGGGAGGGAGAGAGCAAGACGCCTTGGACTAGCACTGAAGACTGAAAAGGCCAGTAGGCTTACCTTAGGTGTTTCAGTTTGCACAGTGTGGCAAAACAAAATATCAGGAGGGGAATTAAGAGGATAAGGGTCATCAGTGAGATTCCCAGCATTAATTTGAGCTTGATTTCCTCTAACTCTAACAGTTTGTCTTCGTTAGTATTGTTCAAATCAGAGCCTGGGAGGAAAGAAACACAATACGATGGAAAACTGACTGTTACGCATGTTTTCCTTGAGGAATAAGGATAACAGAAGATAGCTGTAACATTCACAGCTCACTCTTCCTACCCCAGACAATGGCAAAAAAAAAAAAAAGTGGGCCATTTTTCATCCACATACACAGTTTTTCTCTGTAGTCTTCATAACAATCTTGGAGTAGCTGTGCTTAACTCCATTTTAGATACTCACAGAACTTTGCAAATCTTCTACTAATCAAAATGTGTTTTTAAGCCCAAGCGACACATGACAACATTTTTATGGAGCAGCCTTTCTTCTTGGCTTTACTAGAAACCACTTTAAGTAACTTATTGTCTCTGAAAAGGTTATTAGAACAATTGACAATTTCTTCTGAAAGGAAAGGTGTATGTATTGTTGTTGGGCGCACACTGGTTGTTCTTTTGAACTAAAAGTGTGTAGTATTGGTGGTTTCCTCTCTAAGGCTTAAGAGATAAGTTTGCCATTTTCTTACCAAGATGATTAAAGTTAGTGTACTTGATATTACAAAAAGAAAGAGAAGTGACTTTTTAGACTCCAGAAGTGAATTAACTCACAAAATCATGGCTGGCTCCAGAGACATTAAGAATCTCATAAAATCTGCTGGGCGGTGGTGGCGCACGCCTTTAACCCCAGCACTCGGGAGGCAGAGCCAGGCAGATCTCTGTGAGTTCGAGGCCAGCCTGGGGTACCAAGTGAGTTCCAGGAAAGGCGCAAAGCTACACAGAGAAACCCTGTCTCAGAAGAAAAAAAAAAAAAAAAAAAAAAAGAATCTCATAAAATCTGAGGAAGATGTCTCTTTACTGTCAGATTTTGGATGTTCATGAGAATACATCATACAAAACATATTTAATGTTGAAATTTCCCTTCTCACAGTGCTCTCCCGACCACTCACAGTGTTCCTAGAGCCTTCATGACTTTCTAGGTAATATGTAGATTATACTCAATGACGGATCTAGACTCCCATGTCAGTCTTCTCTGACTTTTAAACATTTTAATTATTGTGCTTGGTATATAGCCCAGTAGAGCTCCCGCTAGCATGTTGAAAGGTTTAGGTTCCTAATACCAATAAAGAGTAAAAATTATATTATCCCAGTATGATCTTAAAGCAAGAGGAATGGAATGTGTACAGCTGTCATTGACTGTTATCGGACTTTCGGACCCATTTGGGAATAATCAAGTAGATTATATTAAAATGAACTGCCCCCCCTTAAATGCACCTCTAGTTCCCAAAGCCTTTTTTCTCTTTCTTTTTTCTTTTCTTTTTTCTTTTCTTTCTTCTCTCTCTCTCTCTCTCTCTCTCTCTCTCTCT